TCTGCTGGTTTAATGAAAGGTGAGTTCTTCAGGCCAGAGTCACGTTTGCCTCCAGCCGCCGCTGCGCTGGGGGCACAGACAACAATCCCAGGATTCTGTGTGCTTTTGTCTGGAAATAACAGACACAAACCAGGGGTCAGACGCTGAGCTCTGGAATGTAGATGAAAGATGTGGTCTGCTGCGGCAGGTGGGGATGCTTAGCTTTAATCAAAAGATGATTGCTTATGTTTGGCTGCTATTTGACTTCTTGTTTTTCAGTCTTGTGCTTCAGGTCAGACATGGCATGTTTTTTTATGCGCTCCGTTCTGAGATGTGACTCCAGTTCGACAGGTGAACCCGGGATCAGTGTTGCGATTTCAAATTGAATCTCTTTTTCCAATGTACACTGTACAAAATGCTTGTGATTTAAAAAAATGCAACAGTAAAACAAATGGAAAATATGAAGTACCTTATCATTTGCAGTGAAAATTTGATATAACAAGACAATACACTAACTTCTATGGTAAAATATTAAAATATATTTTAATGTGAACGTTTCAGTGTTTTGTGATGAAATTTATGTAGGTCAGTGGCCATTGTACAGTGTGCCTGTGATGTGGGATTTTGGTAGTACATATTAATGTTTACAGTAAAAAATATTTAAATTTATAGTCATTTTTTGCTAGTATTATAACATAAATTTAACCAACATTTTTAAAATGTTTTTGTAAGAAGTCTCTTCTGCTCACCCAGGCTTCATTTATTTGATAAAAAATACAGTAAAAACAGTAATATTATGAAATATTATTATGAAATAACTTTTCTTTTAAAATGTAATTTATTTCTGTGATCAAAGCTGAATTTTCAGCATCATTACTCCAGTTGTCAGTGTCACATGATCCTTCAGAAATCATTCTAATATCCTGCTCAAGAAACATTTCTGATTATTATCAACAGTGAAAACAGTTGTGCTGCTGAATATTTTTGTGGAAACTGTTACATTTTATTTTTCAGGATTCTTTGATGAATAGAATGTTCAAAAGAGCAGCATTTATTTGAAACAGACATCTTTTGTAACAGAAATGTCTTTACTTTCACTTTCGAATTTAATGCATCATTGCTGAATAAAAGTATTAAGTCCTTAAAAAAAATGTTGTGCTTGCATTATCATACTCGAAATTGAAAGAGAAAATCTGGGCAAGACATATGTTTTCTATCACACCCATGAGATTTGCTGCTTGTAATTGCTAGTGATCATCAAGTGCTTTTAGGGGAAGTGACATTTTCATAATGGACAAAAAGCGTATATTGTATTTTTTTTTTATCTGTTATATCTGCATGCACATATAGCACTTGTATGGCTTGATTTGATTTGGAGTTCACAGGTGAATGCGTGTTTCTTTCCCAGCGCTGTATCCCATCTTCATCTAAAGGCTCCATATCCCTGACTGAATATCCAGTGAGGCCTCTCTAGATCCCTGCAGATGTTCCTGTCACTAGTCCTCTCGATCCAGAGCTCTCAGCTATAGATCTGCTCCAGGTGAACAATGGATTCTAACTATATTTTTACAAAATTAAAAAAAAGCATCTATACAGACAATTCACTGCAATTTCCAGCTGAAATGAACACTATACACTCTTAAAAATAAAGGTGCTTCACGATGCCATAGAATAACCTTTTTGTCTAAATGGTTTCATAAAGAACCTTTAACATCTGAAGAACCTGTCTGTCTCACAAAAGGTTCTTTGGGGCGAAAGAAGGTTCTTCAGATTATAAAAAGGTAAGAAAGAGATGGTTCTTTAAAGAACCTTTGACTGAATGGTTCTTTGTGGAACCAAAAATGGTTCTTCTATGGCATCGCTTGAAGAACCTTTTGAAGCACTTTTATTTTTAAGAGTGTAGCAGTAAAATGGCAACAACTTTTATTCCTTTTCACACAAATTATTATTATGGGGGCAGATTGTTAGTTAATAAATACTTATTTCCTTTGCACAATACTATGTTATGACGTCAAAATGCTTTTTTTTTTCATGATTGGTAAACTAATACATGTTGGCGTTTGCATCACAGCTCCATTTCTGATTTGTTGGCAAAAAAAAAAAATTGGCATTCTTTATTGGCATCTACAGGGAACTTTCCATTGCACAAAAGCTTCTTTATAGTGGAAAAAGGTTTCTTAGATTGTTCAAATGTTCTA